AAGTATGGTGTTGTTAGATGGCTTCTGTTACAGGTAACTTTGACTGGTAATGGTTTATTGCTTGTTTATTTGCAGGCCGACTAATTTGAAAAACCAAAGATGGCGTATCATCTTAGGGCGTAGCCGCCATTATTCTCGCCCTAGATTTTAGACTTTCAGGATCTCCCAAAATTTATTTCTGCATCAGAACTGACCCCATGAAACAAAAGCCAGATGAAATGAGTTCTATTAGTATACAAACGAGGGAGTAGAGGACATTTGATCACCATTAGATCGGTCCGTCCATCAAATGAAACGACTTACCCAAATTTAAAATATCATCACCCTCTGCTTCTAATCACACCCAAGGTGAGCTATAGGTGTCATTGGACACTTTGCAGTATTTATAGCATTAATGAGCAAATAGCCTACATTAGAAGTTAGTTACGCTGAAGGATATCCCGCAATAATATTAATCAACAATTCTTAACAAATTTGAAACCGAGAATGCCAAGCGTAAAGACATGAACATTGATCAAAAAACACTTCGGCATTCATATTCAGCGGATCTTTGCACTTATGTGGTGTTCATCGACCAGCATACTAGTGCGATGCCGTACACTACAGACATTTTTTGGAGCGATGCGTAGCCGTCCGTTGATTCCTAACTGACAAGGCAAGAGTCAGTGAAACTGTCTTATCTTCATTTTTGAGAAAAACAAAATTTGTGAGGGCTGGTAAAAAACTGCTCACAAACAAAATTTTCCTAGATAGATATACTGCGAGTGTATATATACGTATACACGTAGAATGCTATTTTGCTATTGTCTATAAAAACCATTTTTTATTAAAAGGAATGTTGAGGCTTTCCCACTCTCCTTATTGTTCAAACTCAGGATGTTATGTCTTGAATGTAACATTTTTTGGACAGGCAAGAGTCAGTGAAACTGTCTTATCTTCATTTTTGAGAAAAACAAAATTTGTGAGGGCTGGTAAAACAAAACTGGCTCCACAACACAAAATTTTCTAGATACGATATACTGCGAAGTGTATATTACGTATACCGTCACGTAGAGATTGCTATTTGTTGCTATTGTCCCTATAAAACCATTTTTTTATTAAAAAGTGAAATTTTTGGGGTTTGAGGCTTTCCCACTCTCCTTATTGTTCAAACTCAGGATGTTATGTCTTGAATGTAACTTTTTACTTAACAGCGGTATCTGTTACCCGTTAATCTCTGAATCGCTAATACAGTGAATGCTCATACAAATGACAAATGTTATTATATATATATACATTTCTGATGTGTGCAGTACAATGTATGCGGCTGAGCAGCCGTGTGTATTTGTGCCATGATCACCCCCACATATACACACATACACACACACATAGCTCTAATCTAACCACGTGATGCTTGTGTGCAAATATATTGTATGCAAATACAGTAAATTACCACTTATGGTTCATGCAGCAACCAGTAAGGCATGGCGTTGTGTGCACCAAGAGAAAGTGTGTTTGGATACTAGTACACTAGTTGAGACTAATTTTCAGGGGTGACATACTATTGATTAGTTGAATGGTTAGCAATATTGTATAGTCTCGTCTGGTCGTGGCACTGGAGGATAAACCTGTGCTTCTTCCTCTTTTAAGAGATTATCAGACATTTGAGCTGGCAACCCGTTCGAGCACATGGCAGGGAAAGATGGGTCTCCATCGATGCTACTGGATGAAATCTATGGCGAGTTGGATGATGATATACTGGATGACTTAGAGCCATGCACGCCAGTCGAAGATGATGGAGGAAAATCAACAGGTGATTTTGATTAGTGTTTATTTATATTTTTTAAATCATTGCTGTATTAAGGTATTGGCGAGCTGTAAGTAAAGAATATGTTGTGTTTAGTCAAATCCATGTAATGGTCAATCAAGAGAAATGCCATGTGTGACTTTCATAGACAGATGGCTTTTTTTTATTGAAATAGGTCGACATTTTTAACATGGAGGGAGGGACGAGGAGGGAGGGAGGGAGGGCAGAGAGAGGAAGAGAGAGAGGAGACGAGAGAGAGAGACGAGTAGAGAGAGAGAGAGAGAGAGAGAGAGAGAGACGAGAGAGAGAGATAGAGACGAGAGAGAGATGAGAGAGAGAGAGAGAGAGAGAGAGAGAGAAGAGAGAGAGAGAGAGAGAGAGGAGAGAGAGAGAGAGAAGAGAGAGAGGAGCGAGAGAGCCGAGAGAGAGAAAGAGAGAGAGAGAGAGACGAGAGAGAGAGTGAGAGAGAGAGGGAGATGAGACGAGAGAGAGACGAGAGCAAGAGAGAGAGAGAGAGAGAGAGACGAGAGGAGAGCAGAGAGAGAGAGAGAGGAGAGAGAGAGAGAAGAGAGAGAGGAGAGAGAGGAGGAAGAAGGAGAGAGAGAGAGAGAGAGAGAGAAGAGAGAGAGGAGGCGAGAGCGCAACCGGAGATGAGAGAGAGAGAGAGAGCGGGTGAGAAGGGCGAGGAGCAGAGATGGGGAGAGAGGAGAGACGAGAGAGCCGAGAGAGAAGAAGAGAGCAGAGAGAGCAGAGGAGAGAGAGAGAGAGAAGAGAGAGAGCGAGAAGGAGAGAGAGGAGAGAGGAGAGACGAGAGACGAGAGAGAGAGAGAAAGTCGACGTGAGTAGCACGAGGCGAGGATGGCCCGGTAGAGGGAGGCGAGGCGTGAGGGAGGGAGGAGAAGCGAGGGACGGGAGCGGAGGCGAGGGAGGGAGGGAGGGAGGGAGGGAGGGAGACGCAGAGAGAGAGAGAGCAGTGAGAGGAGAGGAGAGAGAGAGAGAGAGAGAGAGAAGAGAGAGCGACGAGAGAGGAGAGGAGAGAGGAGGGAGGGAGAGAGAGAGAGAGAGAGAGAGAGAGAGAGAGAGAGGAGAGGAGAGAGAGAGAGAGAGAGAGAGAGGAGTAGAGGGAGAGAGAGAGAGAGAGAGAGAGAGAGAGACGAGAGAAGACGAGAGAGGATGAGAGAAGAGAGAGAGAGATGATAAGAGGGAGAGAACATGAACACAGGTTGAGGTGGTCGAATGTGGGAAAGGAATAAAAGAAGGGTAGTGAGGGTGAGGGAAGGTAGGGGCGACGGTAAGAGGAGGCGAGGGAGGGTGGAATTTGGAGGAGGATGAGAAGAAATGTGAAAGATGCTAGACGGTTGGAAGGATGGGGACGCGAGTTCAGGAGAAAGTGGTAATGATGCGAGGGCAAGAAGAGAGGAGAGGTAGATTGGGCGTAAAAACTGAGGGAGGATGTTGGGAAGTGGTATAAACAAAAAGTAGGCAGGTAAATATTCTGGAAGACGAAAATAATGGAGAAGAGAGTGTTCTCTGAACATTTAAAGCTTATGCGAATAAGAATTCTGTTTTGACCTGTTACATGGCTAAGAAACAGAGGAAAGGAAATGAAGGGACAAGGGTGGAGCAAGCACCAAACGAAACGGGAAACGTAGGGAAGGGAGAGTGGGTATAGGGAAGACAAAGGAGCGGGAAGAAAATCTAGAAACAAAAAAAGCAATAATTGTGAAGAAACAGGGGGAAGGGAGAAGCTACAAAGCGGAAAAGGGCACAAGGGTATGTATGCTAGCGATTGTGCCGATATTATATTGCTTACTGTTTCGCTAGGAGTCTCAACCCGCCACTCTCCATCTATACTTAGAACTGCTGAGAACTGCTAGAAAACTGACTTAATTTTCCAGCTGACAAAATTTATCTGCTCTGAATCTTCATACACCATAATGCAATAATAGAGGGCAGCGCATTTTTAGTGTCACATTTCGAGTAGAACGTGAATCTTCGAAACTTTTTGGAAGGCTTCCTGCGATAAGCTAGGACGCCGTAGAATTTGACATTAGCTTGTGAATGATAATCAGGAGTCGTATAATATATATTCATATATATATGATAGTCTATATATATATTATACAATCCTAATGATGTGAGACTAGCAAAAGTAGGTAAAACGAGAAATTCAAGGTTGTGGCCAAAACTATTGTCGTTAACCACATATGTTGAATCTCTAGTGATGATCAAGGTTGTTGTCTGTTTCAAAAGATATTTCAAGCAATATTTAATAACCTACTTGGAATATAAAACCGTAGCAGTTGTGTTTTTCAACATTTACTTATTTCCATTAAAATGTATGTATTTACTAACAATCATTGGCCAATCCTAGTAAACGGCATTTACAGATGGAGATACAGAGATGGACTGGTTGCGTGAAGCTGGCTTTGGCACTCTAGCTGACAGATATCAAGGTGAGTATCTGCAAACCATATGTATTCTATGCCAGGCAGTGTCAAATATATACACAACACACAGCGGAATACATCGGTGGTGGGATGAAATCGCATGGTTAAATTTTAGCCCCTAGAGACTGGAGGAGTGATAAATGAGAATTTTGACAGACGAGATATGTGTGTCCACTTTGCATGTGGTGCTATACCTATATTGTGCTAACCCAAACTTACTGTTTGAAGTATGTACGGCCAATAAGTTTGCTTGCACAGTGCAATATAAGTGTTATTACTAGCCAGTCCATTAATTAAATGGCAAATACAATAGAATGGCTAAACTACGATGAAGTTATCTGAGTTGTGTAGCCAGGATTTCTATTCCATTTCTGTATTGCAGAGGGTAAGGTAGTGGATCAGTTGTCGTTTGAAGAGGAGGTCTTCATGACGCTGTCCAGGAAGCAGTCGGCTGCTGTGTGGCGTCGTGTGCACACCCTCAATGCCACCGTTCGCATACGGCAGCAGAAACACCACATCCATGTCAGGGACGTGTTCAACCCACAGGTGCCTCAACCTAACATTTAATGCTACAGTTACTCAATTCTCATCTCCTGGATCGTTCTCCTGGATCATCTCTTGGGCTCTCAGTTGGGGTAACGTGGCCTTACCCTGACTATAGTCAGTCGTAGATGGCAGTTGTGCTATAAGCACAAAAAAATAATGTGTTCTCCAATTTCAACATATTTACATTGAAATTAGATGTTATTTATGCTGCATGCCATTTCTTACTGTTCAGTATCAATCAACAGTATACACCTTGCAAATTGGCAGTGAGCTTTAGTATATATGAACTGTAGCTGCCTCAGATTAGGTATCTTGAGTAATTGCTGTCACCTCTAATGCAGGAAGAGAAATGCCCTCCTGCGACACCAACGACTCCTGTCCGAGTGCAGGATGGGGTATTGTCAGGGACTCCAATCTCCTACAAACTTGATGCGGTGAGTTCTTGAGCAAGTTTATAACTCTTTTGGCAGCGTTGTACTCGATCGCGTCTCAACCTGTTAGCTAACACTGCTTTTGCATTTTTAGGATCAAAAGAAGCATGAAAAAACATGGGGTAGCTTTTTTAAACACAAGGATGCAGCTCTCTGTCCTGGAATATCAGATAGCCTATCAGGTACAGTATTTAGCTAGAACACATCTTGACCTCAATAGAGGAACTATTAGAAAGTCTATTGTACTAAAACAATAAATATTCTTCTAATCACAATTGAAAATTACATGAACTCAGCCATACAACAGCATTAAAAAAGAATTATCCAGCACCAATGTGTAAGTACTACATTAGGTCACATTTTGCTGTGTCTGCATGTGATAAGGAGTGTTTTGCATCCGAACAAACAGAAACAGAGAGCTAAATTATCTGGTTTTCGAAAAAAATGTTCGCCCGGTTATTTTAGACTATTTTTTGTGGTGTAGTGAAAATAGGTTGTATGTATTCTTCCTTTTTCTGTTTCGTTGAAAACATTGTTTAGGTTCTCTGGTGATTTTTTCAGCTCTGGTTATTTTAGTGTATAGAGTAATCCGTACATAGACATAAGTTCCTACTTGACCACTTTCATTGTGCCGATGTAAACATCAACAAATACATGGGTATAAAACATGTTTGCTAAAACCTTCACTGTTTCATACATTGTGTAGACGTGTATTTTTTATTAATCATCATTACTGCTTGTGTTATCCTATCTGATTATGTTACCACTGTCTCCTAATACTTAGGCATAATACCATTGAGCATCGCAACAGCAGGCACCGATTTCTCAGACTTCCCTCTGCCTTCCATATCAGAATCCGACATAGCTTTTGACATCACAGGTGGTTTCCTGGAGAATAAAACAGTAAGAATAAATTTATTAATGGAAATGAGTAAACAGTATTTGTAAAGTGACATCATTTCACTGGCAACATGAGTGTAACTGCTAGAGAAGGTAGCAAATGTCCCTCCAATGAAAAATTCTTTATTTCAGGAAGAATCTGGGTTTGGCAGTAAACCAGGAGATTCCAATGATGATCTTCCAAGTGATGATCTACATGTAAGCATTTTATACACACAATGAATACATGTAGCATACAGTTTAAGAAATAAGGAATAAAAATTGTCAATTAGTAATCCTAATCCAAAATAATTGCTGGATGCCCTTACCTTAGTGAATCTCAACATTTTCTGTATATGTCTCCATTAGTATTTACACCTCTATTGCAGTTGCAATGTTCCACAATCTTACTGTGTTATTTCATAAAAAATTGCACTGAATATGCAGTATGTGTGTTGTGCAAATTGATGGCGTGTGTCAATTTATCTTTCTTGTGAATACCTCTGCAGAATATTTATCTACTGCCAGAACCATTAGGGGTTACTAGAGTGGGATACCTTGGACCTAGCGACATGAAGCGAGTGCAAACCTTGGCGCTTATTGAGTTGACAGCACTGTTTGACCAGTACAATATATCCTACTGCCACATCAAGAAAAAACGACACAGAAATAAAGGTTGGTGCCTAAAGAAGATCTCTATGTAAATCTACGTATTTTCAAACGTTGTAAGTTGCCGTATTACAGATCTGCACCGAGAGTACACATGTCATTGTGATGTAATAGCATGTTATTTTCGCTCTGTTCACAGATTCTATTCTGTTTGGAGTACCTCTGACAACCATAGTTGAGCGAGACCAAAGAAAACAACCAGATATCAAAGTACCTCTCGTTCTAAATGAGGTATGTTGCTCTGACGTAATAATCGAAAGAAAAAATCCAATTCAAGGCATTGTGTTAATTACTTTCAGGTCAGTCATCCAGTTGAGTACAAGTTTGTAACCTTGTGGTATTGCTTTGTCATTTGATGTTTTGGGAATATCGCACAACTTTAAAATATATGGCATTTCTCATAGATGACACAGTTTCTGGAGGCAAATGGAATTCGAGAAGAAGGAATCCTGAGAGTTCCAGGCTCTGCAGTGAGGACAAGGGTTAGGATAATTTGCAAATTACATGCACCAACGTTAGAATGAATATGTTATATTTATTTAGTCTTATTAATTTGCCTAAAAACCATCTTCCCGAAAACGTGGAAAAGCTATCTATACATACGTGTCTGGCAACGTCAACATTAATGAATTTGATGGTGATTACTCAATTGTTACTGTAGTAGAGTTTTATTGTGCGTGAACTCACATGTGGAAAGTTTAATTATTTTTTTTATTATTTAATAAATTTTAAAATGTGAACTAGTTAAGATTTAACTATCGTTTTATCTTTCCATTTTAGCAATTAAAAAGCGAGCTGGAATCCAGTCATACTAATGGCGATGTGCAATGGAGTTCATATGGATGGTCAGATGTTGCTGGTCTACTGAAGAAGTGGCTCAGAGAACTGCCAGTGCCACTCCTAACATATGAATATGTACAGGCATTTGCTGCTGTGCAGAGTATGTACACATTCATTGTTTCTGCCTTGACCGAGAAATTCCATATAAGATTATGTATGAGTTTAACATTACAGACATATTGCTAATGATGTGGCCTGGCTTTCTCTGCAGCAATCCCTATAAAAAAGCAGCAAGTGCAAGCTCTCAACTTTCTCATGCTCGTGTTGCCCAAGGTGCACAGGGACACACTCAAGGTATAGTAGTCACTAGTCTGCGATTAGCGCCATGTCATAATAATATTAGGTAACCCATGTAGACTCCTGCTAAACCATAAGGCACAACTTGATTTGCTTTGTGAATGATAGTCAGACAGACAAAAATTTAAATCTGCCAGTGTTCTCACACACACTCAAGTGTTTAACTCAAACTCATAGATAACTTAGTGCAGTGTTTAAAACCAGTAGATCTAATTGAATCTGTCTTTCATGTTGGCTAGAATTAATGCAAATTACCTTCTGCATATTTTAAAAGAAAGACAGTGAACAAGTTGTAATTAACTGACTCAAGAAGAGGATGATCTGGTGGCATGAAAACGCTTGACATAAAGCTGTGTGAAAGATGGATCATGCACGTTGAGCACAATCAATTCATTGTTACTTGCAACAAACGTGGCTGCTAGTTTTATAAAGGAAACTAAAGTCCCTTTTTGAAATTCATAAACTGTTGTGTGTGTAATTTCATGGCTGGTCAGCATTTACTGGAGTTCTTTGAAAAGATTGTCGCCGAAGAGAAATCTAACAAGATGGGTCTCAACAACGTGGCTATGATCATCGCACCAAACCTCTTCCTCATTAATTCAGTGCCATCAAAAAGTGTCAAGTCACCCTACTCTGAATTGCATATGGCGGCTGGAACGTCCACTGTTGTGAAACTGATGATCAAATACCACAACCTCTTGTGGACGGTAATGGAATATGATACTATGGAATGGCATTTACATGGAATTTGTACGTAAAAAGCTGACTTCTTTGAATGAAGTTTCTACTCATTTTAATCTTAAACATCACTGATAACAATATTGTGTAATCATTTAGAGCAATCAGGCATGTATATTCTAGTGCATTGTTGTTCAATTGATCCATTTTAGATTCCACCTTTCTTGATCAAGCAAGTCAGGTATCAGACCAAGCAAGAGATGAACAAGCGAAACCTATCTGCACCAGTAAGCCTTGTATAGATTCCGTATCTCTTAAAGTAACTATTGCGAGAGTTTTCCAGTGTTTTCCCCACTTTCATGATACCTACTGTTATTGCTTAAGTAACAGCAATTGTCTAGAGTAACAATAAAATGTCTTAGAACCTTCGTATTCATCAAATCATGCACGATTACAATTTTGCATTCTGTTTATGTTTACCGTTGCCATCTCTCGGACTTTCTCGCGGTAGCGCGAGACATCTATCCCGGTGCAGTAATGCATATAGTCGCACCGCAGAAATCAGGTCAGAGTGTAAACCCAGACGTTCATACTAGCGTAACAGCGGTGTAGTACTAATGTCGCGTAAAGTCTGTTATTAGAGAAGCTTGTGGATTACCAGTCAGATAGTAACACGGGAATAACAATGACAGAAAGGGCTCTGAACTATTGACATAAAAACTCAATAATATTTACCACACAGAATTGCACGTTCTTTTGTTTTCATTATGCACTTGGTTTGAAGGTGCCATTTGTGATTTTGAGAGTCGGCATACAATAAAATTTATTGCTGGTATGATGTGGTCAAATCCATTTTTAGCTCATCTGACATAGTCAGATGCAGCTTGTAGAATCGCATGATCGTCCGTCCGTGCTGTCGTCGTTTCCGTAACAGCTTGGGCACAAATCTATACAACGCTCGACGTACCGGTCACGATATATCGGGACGCTGGGGGGGTAATCCGAAAACGAGTTGGGATGTCGAAGCTGCCCGGGGGTCAAAGTCATAAGCGTCAAGAGGTGTAAAGAAAGGGCGAACATTCATCCATTACTTAAAAGGTATAGGGTAGGGAAATGCAGAATTGCGCGCACAAATCTAACGGCTCGACTTTAAGGCTCGTGATAGTCGCGTGGTATAGCATTCATTTAGGTAGGAAAAGCATCCTGTGCCGAAATTTGGAGGTCACAGGTCCAAAGCAGTCAATGGAGCACAGGGCAGCATTTTAGACATTTTCTGATGGACATGGTCTGACGGAGCCATTGAAAAACCTTTTTGTTTCAGCGGTGACCTAGATTTTATGGCATTATTGAAAGGACCATGAATCTAATTTCTGTGACATCGCGAAGAAGTAAGTGTCAGTAACTTTTGACCCTCAAGAGGAGGGTTAAACATGGATTTGTTGACTGTCTGTTAGAAAAGAATTTGACTGCCGTTTGCTAGTAGAATCTATACATGCCTGCATGTATGAGGCTCAATGTCACAGTGAAATTTCAAAAGCTAAATTTGGTTAAAGAAGGTTTATGCTCCTTAATTCGTATAATTTCCTATGGCATTCTGTACGGTCAGTATGTTACATGTAACGTATGCCACTGCCAGTGGCTACTGTCAGTGCATGTGTTGGTGGATACTGTGGAGTTTTTGCCTGCGTTAATTGTTACAGGTGGCAGCTCTCTATTCAGCCTGTAGGCTTGCGTACGGTAAATGGATGGGTGCTTACTATTCTGTCTTGCAGATAGTCTGTTGCTACTACGTATGATGGGAGCTTCACTCTTTATATCTGAAGACACTTAAACGTACGCGCCATCTCTGGCAACTTTCATAACGATATCCAACGAACATTCTTTTGAGAAGGTTCCTGATACCATCCCTGTGCATTCACTGTTTCGGCGTGTAATGTGAACAATTCGGCGAACAACAGGGTTGACTAGAATCCCACCACTCCACCACAGAGTCACCGCAGTAGACGTTAGATGAGCGCTGTCGCTCTGCGGCACTTGTTTTATGCTATAACTGCATAAAATCTTAGTGTTTTTAATGTTGGTGTAATCAGTGATATTTCCGCTGTCAGGTGAGAGTATATTCAGCTATATTTTGTTTTTCTGAGCAAAAATCTCGCAATAGTAAGTTTCATAATTAGTACTCAACGACTCGTACAGCAGCATTTGAAGAAACGTGTTGAAGTTGGCGAGGCGTATATTATTATTGATGCCTATCACCCCCTATGTCTGTAGTATGAGTGTAACACAGGGCTGAAAGTATTTATTGTTATTTCAGTTATTTCGACAGCGGAGGAATAAAGTAGACTATTATAAGAAAGCAGAAGATGAGGCAATTAAGGTACGGTGAATTGAATTCTGTACGTGTGTGCATGTGCGTGTGTGTGCGTGCAAACATTTATGGAAGCATCTTTGCCTAAAACTATCAGACTTAAATGCTTTACTAAATCGAATACGTAGCCTTACCGTCAAGTAATATCTAAAACCACAGTAATTCTCTAAACAGAATGTGATGGAAGTTGTAGTGGAGTCGCCTGCATGTTGCCATTGCCGCACAACCGTGCATGTGGCTGTGAAACATACAAAGGACCATACAACGGTTGCCTCAGTCTTGAAGAAACTGTGTGATTCGACTGTGAGGAGAGATGACTGCACTGAACATGCAATGTATGAAGTTGGAGGAAATATTGGTATGGCACCATTTTAATAACAAGGTCATCCATAAAAGTTATGTAGCCTAAATTATTACGGATTTTTTATTCATGTAAATATTAAACGCTTACCTGCGTGTTATGTTTTTGACTCAATTTGTGATTTATGATGATTCATGAAATTATAATGGCAACAAAATTATTGTAGTTCAGATTTTTGCCAATCCACTAAAAAGTATATCTTGGTTTGTGTTTAACAGATTTTCGACGACTGGAACCAGACACTGGACTGCAGAAACTCTTTTTAGAGAACCCAATGGCCAAATGGGAGGTTCGATGTCTTTGTCCTCCATTGTGTGAGAAGCTGTGATGTCAATAAACCTCTGTTGGGATGTCGAGTGGATATGTGCTCGAATGCAGTGTATGCCAATATAGATTCTTCTTCTGGCAGTTAGTAACGAGGGACGAGATTACTAAAGGGAAAGTATCAGGTTTATAATGCAGAAAGCTCATAGCTAATGAAGTCATGAGCATGGCAGCTATATGCTAAGGAACTGTATCAGCCACGTCTACGAAGAGCTTTAACGTGCGAACTATTAGCAGGGCATCATGAATTATATATACTGCTTTCAGGTGGTGTTGAAATAATGTTAGTGTCAACGATCGCCTATAAAATTAAAAGTGATCACATTTTCTAGTGCAATCAAGTCTTTTACAGTGGCAATTTTTTACTAAGTAAAGCTATTCATTAGTCATTCTCCCACTGCTTTTGCTAGAAGCATACCAGCAGTATAGCTGACAGTGTCTATGTCCCCCAGGGTACTGCCGGAACGTACCCTGGTACTATCTAATATGCCGGACCGTACCTCGCCTACTCCACTAACGAGTCTAGGTAGTCGCTTACACCTACTCCCTAACCATAACCCTAACCCTAACCATATGAGATAGTTACCAGGGTACGTTCCGGCAGCACCCAGGGTGACATAGACCCTATGAGCCTTACTGTCTCAACAGTATCCTCGTTAACATGTATGAACTCCCGTATGTATGTCGTGTACAGAATAAGCAGGTAGATGTAGATAATACTGTAGAAATGTGTAGATAGTTTTACGTATACCAAAGAATTTTACAGTGTTGTTACATATAGGTCGTCTAATAAAGACAAAGATCGGATAAAGCATTTAGCATATAGGGAAACTTTTTCAATTGTATGCTGTATTGTACGATATGGAGAATTGTTTTATGTTTATACCCATTTCAGTTTATATAACGTGCCGTATCATTTTTGTTCTAAACACAGAACACCTCGCTTCTTGGTTGTATGTAATTTCTTGCATAATTTCTTGTTTTATTTTCATTAATGTATAGAATAGTTGTTAAAATGCAAATAGATTATTTATGAATAAGTTGATAATTTTCTCTTTGATCAGATGAACTGTGATATCATGCATCATATTAAATTCAATAACATGTGCTACTGGTTATTGTTTCTTTGCCCTAAAATATATACCAATACGTTTACATGACCATATTTATTTCATATGTGATGAAAAAAAGTGATGATAAAGAATTCCAGTCCTTGATGCAATTTCCAGTTAAAAATGGTATTCAATAGACGCTACATGAATGTTATACACATTTGTGTGTAATTACGTTGATGATGGATTATGGTTATCCAACAAATATGGGTAACCAACGCTTTTAATGGCATTACGCAGATGTCATATAGGTTTTTGGTTTTGTGTGAACATATGTATACATATGCTCATTATTTTACTTTATATGCACACGGGTTTGAAACCAGCTGGACTGGCAGTTGCAAAATATAAATTATAAGGTTGTTCACATAGATATATACTGTATTACCATAGTATCAAGAGCGTATTAAGAAAGCGCATTCTTAATACGTTCGATCTTGATAGTATTTATGTGTATTACGTTTTTGTTTCAATAAAAAAATCCGTGTTCGGTTTATTTGTGCCCATATTCTGCGCTGTTTAATTCAAAGTATAATTATATGTGTCTAATTGCATTTTTAACAACAGATGGCAGAACGATGTCAATTTTAATTGATCGACATTACCGTTGATGATTACGAGTGTATTACAAGTTAGCAATGATCATAGTAATTGCGTATGAAAATGGTTACGAACTCGTGTTATACCAGAACAGATATATCTAAATAGTTATATTGATATACCTACCCTGACCATATTAGCTGCTAAATATCAACTCAATTTAGGCTTACTCAACTTGGATTTCTGCTTATACGCAGTATAAAGGTATCGTTTTTACGCGGTTAAAATAATTCCTTATTTACCTACGTGATTATGAATGCGCATATTTGTAGGTGGCATTAAGCACGCGTTGTCTATATGTTTTGGGCGAGTCGTGTACTCGTAGGCGAGTAGAGTGCGCACGTAAAATGGATATATTTGTTTATAAAATCAAATAAGCGAGAAGCGGGTCTGGTGTAACCAGAATAACAATATAGCCGACATGGGTCCGGGCGGTAAAATTTTTCTTTCGCGTGTCCGCAGCTTTTTACTTCACACAGTACTACACCCCAGTGCCGCCCACATACCCCGTCAGTACATCGTGAGGTTGCTTTGTGCGAGTAAATTTCGTTTTAAACTTCAAAGGCCAGCTGCGAAAACTCACGAGACGCTCTTAATGATCTAATATATAGTTATGATCTAATATATAGTTATGATCTAATATATAGTTATTTGGGTTTTTATGGGGACATTGTGAATAGGTAGACAGTCAGACGGAAAATATCGAAGAAATTGAGGATAGCATATAATGGGTGGCTCGCTCAGCACAGCAACGTGTCGTACGTGCCTGCTAATTAGCGGCTAAATCGATGCTGTCGGTCCCCAGACTGGAAAAATGTGTATATGTGGGAGGAGGAGTATGTGATGTAAGTAGAGTTTCTTGTTAAATATGAAAGTCTACACGTTTTACAACACCTCGTTAATGCATATGTCAAATTGAAGGAGACATGCAGTTATTTACGGGGCACGGGGCTGAACCACTTTATCTATCTGGGCACAGGGATATACTATATAAATTCGTGAATCGGAACGTGGGAAAGCCGAAAAATTTTGTGATTTTAATAAACCAGGAACTCGTAATTGGTCCCGGGAATGGCATATTTTCACAGGCCCGTAGTTAGCTGGGGAAGAGCGACAGCTGTCCCCACCACCCAGACCAAATATAGCGAATAGCAAACTGTTTACGGCAACTGTCAGGAACACAACATGCACATGGATTCGAGAAGGGTCACAATTCAAAATGAAGAAGCTATGCCCCTAGCTGTTTAATCTGCGAACCTGGGAATACCACTCCCCTCTTTCCCTCTCATAATTATATAGAGTTTTTTTCTTTAAATCTGCGCGAGGTGATAATCTAGCGCGATTAGACATCACATACAACAGCTTATATGCTCGGATGATAATATCTATAAATAGCGATTACGTGTAGGCCTAAGTGGGAGGAATTAAGGGAACTTGCGTCTAGTGGGCCGGCCGTATGACGCTCACTCTCGTATAAACCCACACCAAGAGTAGATAATAACACATGTGTTATTATCTACTCTTGACCGACACCCATACATACGCATTCACACACATTACACACACACACACACACACACACACACACACACACACACACACACGCACGACACGCACGCACGCACGCACGCAC